TATGCAGCTAAATTGGTTTCTTAGAAACGTAAATTAACTTCAAATTTAACTTTAATTTGGGCATATGTTTGGTAATCCAACATCTAATGTTTACTAACACGTTTTTAACCTTAATCTTTCTTCTAGCCAACACAAAATGAACTATTTATTTGTAGAGTTTTTGATTAGCAATTTTCTAACATTTTATTTACTTTATTTGTTTATTTAACTAATCTAACATTATTTTTACGTGCCAGCATTGAAACCGAGCTTTAATTATATGAGACATAGTCTAAGTTAAGCATTTTCTTCAGTGCATGCGTGTTCGCCTGGTGGCACTGACTTTTCCGAGCCAGCGAACTCTGCATGTCAAAGCCCAATAACGGAATTGAACGCACAATAGTTGGCAATCAGCCGAGCTGAGCTGGGGTAGGTTAGGGTCATTCCACGCATCAGGGAACGGCTTCAGGCGGAGGAGCAGCCCCAGTTTCAGATTCAGTTCCATCTGCAGTTCCCAATACCGATCCCCACCCCCATCCCCATCACGCCCCCGATTCCCAGATGATAAATCGCAGGCTGACATCGCCATGTGCATCTGCATGTGTCAGCCGCTCATTAAAAAGGTATTCATCATTATGGCGACCGCCGCTGCAGTTGTCGCACCCAAAGTGAAAACGCCGCCAAGACTGGATGCGAGAATTGGATCTGTCGCTATCTCTTTTGCGGCGGCGTGTTTGCTGTCAAAATCCATTCCAGCGAGAAGTGCTGTGGGGTATCCCTAAGATGTTTTTATTAATTTCACTGGCGTGGGGTACAACGATTTTAAGTCCCGGCTAAAATGATCGATGTTAATGAAGAGTATTTGTTAGGGATTTTCACAACATGGATCAGTTTTACGTACTTTGCATTGGAAATAGTTTTTCTTATTCAAGGGCAAAGTTTGTAATCCCAAGTAATGATCGTACTAATCTATGTTTAAGATTATACTAATTCAAAGTCAAAGCAATCAAAGATTGTAATCCCAAATAATGATTGTTTTAATAGATGTTATAGATTATGTCAGAAAATGCAATACTTCACGGTATTGGTAAAAGGTTAACATAATACTTCAAAGTCAAATTCACCACTTAAACGTTTAGCATTGCTATTTTGTTTTGATTTATACCAAAATATAGATGCCAAGGTGGCGAATTAATGGTATAAATACAAAACAAGCTTATTGCGCAAAACGTGTTGTTATGCAAATGAACTCTAGTAAACGTTTATTGCTTAGTTTTAGTATAATAATAATATACGTAGTGCCGTTCGATTAGAAAGAAAGCTAAGTTAGTTCATACTGTTTCCTTTTAGGCATAGAGTATCTAATTCTTATTTGGCATCTAGAAGTTTGAGTTACACAAGCTACCCTATCAAGTTACCTATTATAGGGTGAGAGCATCTCAGTTTCGTTGCGAACTTCGACATATGCTACATATATCGTGGTGCAATTGTAATTTTCTTGCTTTCTTCTCTCTTTTCAGTTTTTTTATTGTGAAATTGTTCAATAATTTTTCTTTTTCTTGGCCTGTCCCAGTCGTCATCTGTGGCCCCTTTCCGAGATGAGATGCGTTATGCGATATGTGCGCCACTTTGGCTTATGATGGAATTGACACTTCAGTTTCTGTGACACACGAAGTGCGGGACGGCCGGCCATCAAAAACAGACCCGGGACACTGATACATAAGTGTAATTCCCCAACCCATCCGGGCAGAAATATATAGATGCCAGATAGTGGAGGCAGACGCACTTGAAATGCATAAAATGCCATTTTTCTTTTGTGTGTGCAATGAATGCTTTTGCCTCTTCGGTGGTGGGTGTATTTTCTTTGAGTGGAAGGGGGTGAGGGATTTTTACGGCCAAGTGGAGTTTGGAGATGCGTTTGTTAGTGCTAATGGCGCATTTATGGGCACAGGGTTGGATTTGAAAAAGCTTAGAGTGTGGTCTATCTGTCGATCAATTTGTCCTCTTTGTCACTTGGCAAAATAAACTCAAACCCCAAAGATACACACGCACACACGAACTGTAGTTCGGTAACAGCTGAACAAACCCGTGTGTAAATAGTTTTATCGTTACAAAAAGTTTGAGTTTGGATTTCCGCTAATTGCCCAAGAGCAGCCCTGAAGTTTGCCTTGGTTTAATTTTCATTTTATGCGTTTTCTTTTGTGTGTGTGTAATCTAAGCTGGAAAACGGTGGGGGGTACTACATATATAGCCTACATAACTGTAAGTTCCCACTGGCTCACGCTTTGTTGCACCACATTTCCTTTAACCCATAAAAACGAGGCACATGCGCAGCGTCGAGATGTAAGATATACATCTGATATTGTAGCGGGCAAAAGCCGGAAAACAATGGGAACAGGGCGAAATGGGTTTGAAATTGAGAATGAATGAAGAAACTGCCGGCGGATATATCGTTGTTCTTATTATTGTTGCTGGCGTTACTGTTGTGGGTCGTATGTTGTTCCCGTATCAATCATAATTAGGAAGTCTGTGGCTGTAAGTTTTAAGAAACACTAATGTTGCCCCATCGCGCAGGCAAGCTCACACACATAAATCCCAATGACTTTAGTTTTTACGTTCGTGAGAATTCATCATATTTGTATCTTACACTTACACAGAGCAAAACTATTTGTTTTTAATTTGAAAAACAAAAAAAAAATTACGAAATTTACCAGGGTAGATGTTGGTTTAATGTTTAAGTGATCAAAAAGAACATGGCCAAACAACTTTAAAATCAAGGAATTAATTTTGTTTTAATCAAAAATGTAATGTTCCTACTCACAGAATTTTTAATGATTGTTTTTGCTGATTTGAATTCTTGATTTTAAATGGGTTTTTTATTTCTCCGAGTGTTCTTTCTGCAGCTGCACTTGCCTTCATCCGAGTTTTGGAGCCCACATCCCGGCACATCAAATGTTTAGTGCTTAATAAAGTGTGTTATGTCTTTTGTGTAATTATTTTTAGCTTTAGTCGCGCTTGATTGCCATGTTAGGAAAGAGGGAAAATGGAAGGAGGGAAAGGCCTCGCAGGCGTTTCTAAGCGAACAATTTCGAGTGTGTGGGCCCCGAAACACAAAGATCTTAAAGGTTTTCGGGGCAAACTCCGAAAATACACCCCCTTCCCCCCAATTTATACATACATATTATACCCATAGTATGTTAATGAGAGAGTTCCACCTACAAGGTGCTTTGGGCTTTTGGGTTTCTATTTGCACAGGTGTTTTTAGCACCTGGGTTCATGGGTGCCTGATGTGTTTGGGGCATTAGTTATCATCATCTTACGCCCCCAGGGGGCGTGTCACCGGTAAGTGCTAAAAGGCATTCGACTGCACTTTTCTGTAATAATTAGCACATCACATCATGACTTGTAAATAAAGGCCACCAGTGATGAGTGAGGTTCTACGTGTGCCCACCTTTAGCTGCTCTACATAAGTGAGTCTTTTAATTCGAGTGACTATACGGAAAAATTATCGCCAACATTGGTCATCTAATTGAAATTTGTTGAATACATAATTAAATTAATTTTGAGTAATTAAATGTTACAAAATTAAGAATATTTGGGTGACCAGCCTATAAAGTTAAATGATTAAATGATTCAAAGACCTAATGTTGATTTGATATAATTATAACAAACGGAAAACGCAGAAAATATAGTTCAAGCCGGTCTATGCCGTACTTAATTAGGCCGATCTAATGTAATTTAGTTATTTAGGTTATGAGGTTATTAGGTTCGGTTATTAGTTTGAGATACATCTCTATTATTTTAATTCAATTTACTCCAAACAATTCTTTTACAAAGATAAATTACCCTTTTTTTGCATGAAAACTTTGCCGTTTTGTTGATGATTTTCCATTATCTATACAAAAACTTCGATAGTTTGGCGGAAATTTTCATTTGTTTCTCGTCCCGATTGCTTTTCCCACGAAAATCATTTGGCAGATGGCTTTTTGATTGCTCCGACTGCTAATTTTGTAGAGGTAATGGCCCGCGAGGCAAACTCGAAATTCGAATCACACTGGAGCATAATTCAATTTTCGCTTATGGCCAAACGAAACCGGTCGAAGATGCCAGCCATCAGCAATCAGCTAATAATAAAGATTTTAAACTAATTGGCTCATTTAACGCAAAAAAAAAACATTATAATAATGATGACGATGACTGATGACTACTTGCCCGATAAGTCGCAAAATCTCGGCCTTCGGAAAACGAAGAGGGAGTGTATTGTAAGTCCCCAGAAATTAATTATACAAAAGCAAGTTTTTCCATTGCAACGTTCCTTTTTTTTGTGTGTGTGTGTGTGTGCGTTACTCTCCCATTTTTGTCAGCGATTTTGCAAATTGAAAAGCTTCCCCTCTCCTCACGACTTCGCCCCGCGACCAATGACCTTTATCGCGAAAGTCATTAACGAGGGAATTGGGGCATGGCAAAGGAAGTAGTCGAAGTCGAAGGAAGACAGAGGCCAAGAAAGGACAGCATTGATAAAGTAGAAGGAAACACATAAAAGCTGCTGGACATAATCGTCTCCCGGGGCGAAGGGGGTGGGTGTATACAGAGAAAAAAAAGTGGGTTCCCTAAATCAGGCGAAATAACTTATACTTAGTCCGAGGAAAAAAGTCACAATTCTATAATATATTAATCTTTATAATATTCTACACTTTTCAAATTATTAATATTAATGTCTTTTATAACCATTTTTAGTCAATTTCTTTTCCAATAAAATATCCTATAATTAATTTATCCAAAATCGATTTTAATACAAAATATATTAAAAACCCATTAATGATTTAAAATTCTTAAATTTACAAAAACATCACTTATAAACTGTTTTTACGTTTTTACTTGTGTTTACAGAACTTAGGCTTTAGTTTAGTGTTTCCTGATAAATTTTTTTGAATTTATGTTTTGCTTTCAGTGCCTTAATTAGCTGGAGAAAATACTTTATAACATTTTTGCAGTGTGCGGGAGTTCTTCTGGTGACTTACTTGCGTGCCAGGCGCTTCCTTATTCCCGCGAACATTTTGGGTTCTCCTTTCGCTGCTCGCCTTTATCCGCTTTTATGTCCGTACTAATGTTGTATTGTAAATTAAATTGCCGATTTCCGAGGGGTTTCACGGCTCCAACCCAAAACGCTATCTTTCTCACTCCCGGCAAAAAGGGCAACAGAATACGGCGACACTTAAAATTAATTAAAAAAACAGGAAAAAAGCGCAAACGCAATTGTCGCGTAGCTTCACTTCATGTACTTGTACTTGTTGTTTTTTTGCTTGTTTCTGTTCATTTGGCGAGTTGTTACGGGTGTTTTTGTTGCTGTGATTGGCAGCTTTTGGACGCCTCATTGCAAGAGGCGAACAAACAAACAAACCAGCTAACAAACAAATGGGAAAAACAGAAACCGAAATGAAAATCAATTAGCCAAAGTAGGCAGCTGCAACTGTTTGTCGGAGATTTATTTCTATATGCGAACGGATTGTAGATGGTGCAATCCGTAATTCGTAATTCGAATTTCGTCGGAATCAATAATCCTCAGCTGCGATCGCGATCGAGCATTTCCCAACGCACAAACACTTTCAATTTTCATTCACTTCGCTCCACGTTGACAATATCGTCGGATTTTTTCGGTTTTATTTTTGGGGAGCTGAAACGAGGCAAGGAGAAATTCACACATTATTTTCAAATTTATTTTCCCTTCATTTATGTATATCAACAAGCATCAAAATACGAGGGGGGAATTTTCGGGAGGGCCGCATAAGCGATTTATATAATTGACGTGTCGAGTGACAAATTCGAAGCATTTGCTCCCAACAAGTCGCGTCGAATCGGATTTTAGGGTCCGGCTTACAAGAAGTTACAGCATCACCAGAAATGTCGTAATTCTTTTCAGCAAAAATATTTGTGATTTACTACACTTATTTGAAACGCGACTAAGCTCAAAAAATTATATTAAAATTTAAAGACAAATCATGCTAACAGGGTCACGTTTTTATTTCATGTCGGTTCATTTATGTAAGAAAAATTGATCCATCCATGTGCTATTAACATTCATAACTTTTTAAAATTTTAAAAGGAATATAAGTTGATATTAAATTATTTTTTTTTAAAGAAAGACTGTTTAAAAAAAGGTTTTATGTGCATCATAAAAATGTTTAGGGACCAATAGATAACTCAATGAATTGCTAGTGAGTATTTTTCCTTATGCATTTTGAAACTTAAATTCCGCATTTCAAATTCCTTTGCAAATAAATATTTGTATATACCTGTAGAAATTAATGATTTTTAATGAACACAAAAGGTTTTGTGCTGGCAAACTTTTAATGATGTTTCGGGCCAAACGAGATTTGCAATTAAATGCCGTGAAAACTTCCTTAAGCCATTTGGTTCGAAAACAACTGTTACTGTGTGAAGGCATTTAGTGGTCCAACCCGCAGAAGTGAAGATTTATGGTCTGTGAATGTGATGGAAGCGAGGGAAATTTGCAGAAGAGGAGTCTGCTGGCGGAGGAGAATGGCATTGGGAATGGGAATGGGAATGTCTGGCATTTCGGATGGTAACCGACTGATAAGAAGGCCATGCGATCTCCGCCGGAACAGAACGGAGAACATCAATCATGGCCTCAATCTGTGTGTGACCCCCATCCATACTTTTTGGCCAGAACGGATGCAGATGTAATTATGGCCCTGTGCCCTCTGTTCTTTTGGGCCCCTTTCGGTGCTAATGGCGTATTCGGTTACAGTTTCGGCCGTGCACTTGGCTCACATACGAGTTTCGAGCACAGAGGCGGCAACAGATGGAGCTGCATATACACTTACCCAACCATGACAAAGAACATGTTTTTTTCTGTGTTTTTCAGTGTTTTTCAGTGTTTTTCTCCGTTTTTCCAACTACCAACTTGCCAGCGAGAGCGTGAAAAAAGCAAAACGCACCAACTTGGAGCTTCTCACGCACGCGGAGGCATTTGTATTGTATCTGTATCTGAGACTGTGCATCTGCGAGCGGCGTACTGTATCTATTGGAGATTGCAACACGTACTCGCCGTGCATATTTCCCCCTGTACCTGTTTCCACACAGAGAGAAATTGCACCTGATTTGGTCATGGGTTCAGTGATTGATTATTTCGTTCATGCCGTGACAACAATGCGTGCATTTATATCACATTTATATTATATGTTTGATATTGAAACATTTAGATAAGATAAAGATTATTTTATTGTACAATTGTAGCTGTATTACAAATCGTCTAGACATCAAAAAACGGGACAACAATATTTGTTTTATTTTTTAATTAAAGGGGCAAGAAGGAGTCATTAGGGTAAAATTTAAGAAGAGTTCACATGAGATAACGTATTTAATTCGTGTATCTGTGTGGTCAATCTGAATAAATTCATACAAATTTGGCGGAGTCTTATTACAATGGAATCGTGCAAGACTGATATAATAATTCTGATAATTTGTACTGAACTTAGTATATTTTTTTCTGTGCCGCCCTTGTTATGCTTCATGTTCCGCAATTGGATGTGCCGCTATTTTGGGTCGTTCCCCCTTTTTTACGCTTTTCCCTCTTATCCCGCTTTCCCGGTTTCCCGTTTTCCCCTGAATGAACAACGGAAACCTGCCGCATACGATACGCCTCAGCGAGCGTGCAATTACCACCGCAAAACAGTGCTTCTGGATCCGAAACCATTCTCCACCGACAAGCAGCCACCATCTAAATATCAAAAGTTTCTCAAACTCAAAAATAGTGCAATCTCGCCGGCAAGTGGAACTCTTCTGATTTATGGCCCATTGTATCCGACAGATACAAAACGCTTTTACCAACACTCGAGGCCTACAAGTGGCTGCCGGTGCAGTTTCTCCCGCTCCTCCTGCCCTCGTTTTACTGATTACTTTGCACTCTTCGGCAAGTGAAATCCAAGACTCAACGCCCACAGATTGAACAACAAAGAGTTGCTCACATTTCGAGGGGGGTTTTCGGTGCAGCAGTGCAGGGGAGTGGGAGTGTCACCCACATGCCACCATCTCGAGATTAGAGAACAATCCCCGCTCAACTGGCTAAGGAATTCGCCAGCTCGCTTTTGTTGACCCAAAGCTAAAGCAATGAAGATGATTTCTTAATAGAATTAATTTGATATGGTCTGAGGAAAGTAATAGTTTAATGCCTGAACTGGGAAAAAAGCTTACAATTTATATACAAAAACTACTTGTATGCATAACAGAAAACAATTTGTTACAAGAACAATACAAATCAAATAAGAATTTTCAAAAGTCTCACTAAATATTGTCAAGACCCAAATAAAACGCCTTGTACGACAAGAAAAATACACAGTTTTTGCCCAATTTAGTTGAGATTTTTGTATGCGAGGCCAAATCTTTTCCACTGGCAGATGAAAAACGAGGCAAGAAAACTGCGACGAGCAAATGTGCGAAATAAAAATTTCATAACGTGAAATTAGCGCACATAACTCGAATGCAAATGCAATTTGGGCACGTCGCGGCAGGGGCGACGGTTGGTAAAATGCGAGGGGGATGCCTGCAAGGGGTGTGGGGGTGGTGGGCTGCTGGGCAGGGGGTTTTAGGGGGGAGGTGCAGTTTCACCAACTGATGCCACCGATGACGAGTCGCTGATGGGGATGGCTGGCTGAGTTCGGTTCGAGTTGCATGGCTGCCCATAAACGAAGCAGCAGCTGCATCGCAAAACTCCTTTTTCCTCCCTTTTTGCCGCCTTTTGAAAATATCTTGAGCAACGGGATTTATAATTAAACATAAACCCAGCGGATCCGCAGACTCAGCGACTCGCCAAAGGCACGCAGAAGTCCATTTATGCCAATAAGCGAAAGATGGCAAATAAAAAGAAATAACAAGAGTCTCCTTTCTGCGTTTTGTCTCCTTTTTTTTTTTTTGCTGACAGCGAATTTGTCGCCAAGTTGGCTACCTCACTGCCCCGCGAAAAACATATCGAGAAATGAGAGCGCAAAATAAACAAATCATAAATCTGTGAAAAATATGTTTTATGGCTATGTACATGACCGCGACCACCCAAAATATGCCTGCTCTGCGGGCAAATATAAAATCATATTTGTGTATTCCGCAGATGCATAGATACTTTCGTGTGTTTTCGAGTTGTCAGCATTTCCGAACCAGATTTTTATGCGTTCTTTGTGTGTCCAATTAGAGAGAAATATGGCTGTGTAAATACATGAACTCCCCATCCACTTGTTTGGTTTTCACCAGTTTGATGGTTAATCGAGTGAAATGCAATCAAATTTACATTCCCTGGCAAACTGACAGGTAAACTATTCGCCCCCTTCAAGTGCTGGCCATAATAAATGCCAATAAAAGTTCACATTTAACCCATAAAACTTCGATCGGGGAATTGTTACCTCGGCTTTCGGTTCTGGCTCTCCTTTTTCTCCTTTTTTCTGGCTTCAGCTCAATTTCAACTTTTATTGAAGTGCCAGCAGGAGGGGTGTGCGCAAGAACAACTACGGAAATCCTCTCGATGACAGGTGTAAGGGCGGGAAATACAGGTGTGTTCGCAAACGGGAAATGAGAGCCATCGAGTGTGCTAAAAACTACCTTTGCCATCCAATTAAAATGCTGTATTTGCCAATCTTCTTCGGATTAGATTGGTATTACTGATGGAAATGCCTTCGAAACAGTTTTTAATTACTTGGGATGCTTAAAAAGAATAAATACTGTAGCCTTAATCCTTGAAGGTTTTTTATGTTTTATTCAGCTACTTAGTTTTGATTCAAGAAAACTATTTTCAAAAATTTTATATTATCTTGCCAATAAAATGCCATTAAATTTATATAGTTGTAGGAAATTCTAATAACATAAAATCCCTAATAACTTTACTTTGAATTGTTATTCGGTTTTATTATTAGTTGTCTTCATGACATTTATATATTTATCCTCCGCAAACCTTAAAAACAAAACCCTAGTCTGTCTCTGTTGTCAATCTTTGAAATTACCTTTTTTTTAAACAATTTGTTGTGCTCCCATTCACAAAAAGTACTCCTCATTTTATGAGTTTATCGAACCCCGCTATCTCGACCGAAGCCCACCGCTGTTCCCCATAGATTTATAGCTTTGCAAAGCAGTGCTGGAATATTTGTTCACTATCTCCCCTGTCAAGCCCAATCAATTGATGGAAAATTGCTCCAGTCTAAGCCAAAGTCTCAATTGTAAACCGTCGCGGAAATGTAAACACATTTATGCTAGGCAAACATTTTCCGCGCTTCCTGTTTTCTTATGACTTAGTGGATTGTACTACCACCCACTTCTCCACCCACTGACCTCGATGTTGTAAATCTCCGGCTGGCTTTATCTTGAACCCTGCGTTTATATAGACTGCGGCAGTCAGCAGAAACTATGCCAAGGCAAGAATTCCGCTATTTGGGGGGCTTTCAAAGTATACTATATTCGTGGATTCTGGCCAGATTAGCCGTAGATAAGATTGGGGCGAAGTGGGGGAGGCAGCCATAAAATTCGGAAGCGGAAGCCTCATTATTTGCTTGGGTAATTAGCGTAAATTGGAGTAACATAAGCTGGCTCAAAAGATTGAGTGAATGGTGGACACAAAGTAATTGTATTAAGTAGCAAATTGAATAATGAAATGAAATAACCAATTAAGAGCCCCAGGAAGTGGCCAAAACCGAAAATAGCAACCGCAAGGCAAACAAACACACATATGACACCATCTCGGCATTAGCTTCATCATTGACTAAAAACGTACGGCTATATATATAGTATGGTATAGTAAGCCAGTTACCGGTTTGAAGACTCGCAGGCGACAAAAGTTCTGTTGCCAAAATTTAAAAGCCAACAGGGGCTACGGGGAAGGTGTTGCCATGTAGGATGTGGCTGATGTTTGTGTTATGAATTTTTGAATCAGAACCAGTTCGGCAAGTTGCTGGCTAGCACAGCAAACTACAAGGCAAACAAAGGCTTAGATACAAATGAAAAGATACCACAGTGGGTATGTGAGAGCTACAGACGGAGCGAGACAGCCAAGTGTTGATTTCAATTGTTGACCGTAAAATGGGCTCGAGAAAAGGTGTCAAACCAACCTTGCCCTGCTTGAAATTCATATAAAACTTAAATTTAAATGCGGAGAAACGACATAAAACGAATCACCATAAAATGCGAAACGTGCCCCAAACAAAACTTTTGAATAGCACCAAAAAAAGTGAAGAAAAAACGCTGGGAGCAGAGGAAAAAATTAGTGCGTGCCAGCAAATGGTTTGCCATGAGATTGGACCCCATGGAATTGCGAAGAGTCAACAACTACAGTGCGCTCTCTGCCAGTGCTCCATATCTCCATCACATCACCCTGCTCTGCCTCAAGGAATTTATGATATGAGCCCAAATGAGATATGGTTATGGCTGATGTGTTTGCGTTTGTCAACTCGCATAGGCAGACAGTTGGGCAGACCTAGCGAGAAGTTAGGTAGTTAAGATATACAACTGGGATAGCGCCACCACCTACGGGTAGCCTCCCACCCCATTAACCTAACCCCCACCCCAATCCATATGCGTATGCAAATGCCAGCTTATGTGGAACAGCACAACCCTAGCTGTGGCTTTATTTATTTGCCAGCGACACGAGAAGTCTTTTTCGACCTCACCCTCTCTTTATTCTTTAGTACCTCCTTTTTTCGGTGAATTCCTGTGGTTCTGTTGACAGCAACATTTTTCTGGAGTAAATGTTTCTTTTCTCTATTTTTTGGCTGGCCTTAATCCTTTCCTGTCCAGTGCTCCTAAAGCTAAAATTGCCAGACTCTAAAGCAGTTTTTTTCAATTTATTTATTCATTTATGTATATATTTTATTTTTGTTGACTTGTTCGCAGAACAATTGTTGTGGTTTTTATTAAGCCTTATTTTTGCTTCTTCCACTAGACTGTTTTAAGAGTTTTTATTTATTGTGGAATAACAATTTATACAGAAGTCCTTCTTTATCTTTAAATGGTCATTTGTGTTTTTATATAAAACTCTGCTATACAACTTTTCTTTCTTCCCTTTTTAAGTTGTGTTTTCATTTTGTGTGGGTTTTTTTCAGGCAAATTAAATAATAAACGGGCAACAAAACAACTCTAAGTTTCTTAAATTAATTTTCCCTACTGTTTGCTCTGCAAAAGTGACTTCATTCATTACCATTGCATATCTATCTGTGGCTTCTCACCTTAAAATTGATGTGTGGCGGATTTTGTGGTTTTGCTGACCGTAAATAATGGCAGTTAATTTAATTTCAGTTTAAACTAAATTTCCGCAGAAACCCTTTTCCCTGCCCCGTGCTTGGTGTCTTCATTCATTATGCAAATCAAATAATATTGTACATGTGTAGCCATGTTTTCTAAAAAAACACGCACACCAATTCGGACGCAGGCGCACCTTTCTGCTTCCGGTTTTTGTGGCGGCAGCACGTGCGTGAAAATTGCGCCAGTTGATTTTTTTTTTTAGGCGAAGGTAGACTGAGGTGGTGGGTGGAACCCATTATAATTGTTGTGGCAACAGTCGTAATTAAAATGCTAGAAATTACACTCACAGCCATGTCTTTGGTGTTGACTTTTTTGTACCGAGTTTTCTTTATGGCAATCGGCGCTAAGGTTGCATAATTCCAAGGTTGGAGAAGAGTTCTCCCCCTCTTTCTTTGATTCGTTTTTTTGTTGTGCTTTTGGCGAATGCTTGTGCAATGAACCATCAGCATTTCGCTTACTTGGTTTGGAGAATTCATTAATAATTTCCAGTGAACAAATGCGGCCCTAATCTTATCAGAAATGCGTTTTCCTAAAGGCGGGTACTCTTTCCATTAGTCATTGAGCCATTAGGGTTGCGAAATGGCTTTGGAATTGAAGTCAGTGGCAATTTCAGCTACCATTCCCAAGCACAATTCCTCTTTCATTCCTATTGGGATTATTAATTGAATCAATGACAAACCGAAATTCAATAAACAATTACCAGGGAGCTCTTATCGATGGGGCGCCATGTGGCGTATGCGCAATAATATTACGCATACGCCCGATCCCAGAAAGTTGTGCAAGGCAACGGAGTGGATGTCGAATAGAAATCGAAATCAGCAGCTCGATTTCCTTTCCGCAAGAAGTCCAAAGTATATGGCATATTGACTGCCAATCTCTATCGCTATCGCCACGGTTATCAGCCAGCCAGATAGCATCGATGACACTGATAATTGACGGCAATCATTGAGCAATTGACAAGTTCATTTAAGTGACAGAGCAAACATACACAAAAAAAATCTTTCAGTGGCGCCTACAGCTTCTCAAATTTACTATGAGTCACGAAAAAGTATAATTATTTGGCAGCTTTAAGTCAAAAATAATAATTTATGTTTTAAAAGCTAAAAGCGTTTGTTATAGACTAGGAGTTTTTGCAAGTTTTTTAAGAAACTACTTTTTCGCTTCACTTTTATCAATTTATATATTTATTGGTCTTTAAATTTCCTTACAGAATTTGAACTAGGACCTTAATCTTTTTGTGGCATTAAATAATAATAGCAAATAATAGCAACAACTTTAGGAAGTGACAGGCAAAAAATATTGACAACGATATGAATAACAGTTCTGAAATGTATTTAAATATTCATGTGCCGTCAAAATATTTTTCAAAAATTGGTAGGAACCATTATTAATAGGTAAATTATAAAATTCTAACCCAAGAAAGCCAAAATTCAAAGCTAAAGATTTTCTCGTCAAGCCTTCATATAATAAGACACCTGCTCTTTTTGTATGTGTACTTCCAAAGTTTAAGAAATAGTGGTTGACTAAAAAACAACTACATTTAAGGAAATAATTTTCGGCAATAATTTCAAAAGACTTAACACACAGAATTTTGACTGTATTAGAAGTGAAAATGATGAGATGGGGGCCAGTTGGAGATAATTATATGTAAATGGGATTTTGTCGCCTGTTGTTATCAGGCATTCGGAGCGGTTCAAAAGGGTGGAACTCATTAAGTCTGGCCGCAGTCATTGAACTTGGGCGATAGAAACTCACTCTTCTTCTTCCCCTTCTCCTTGGGAGGCTCCTCTATTTCGCCGGAAAATCACGATTCGCTATCCTGCTGCCACTTTTTGCATTTATTTCTTATTTTTCTTTTGCGCCTGGACCAAAGCACCAACACAAACAAAAACGACGACAACGGGCAGCAGGTGTGTGTGTCGGCCTGTTTTGTTGTTTCTTTTGGCTTCTGCTTGGTTTGTTTGTTGTTTGTTTTGCTGTCGGCCTTTGCTTTGCACTTTTCTGCACTCTTTTTTTTGCAGCTGTCAACGCACAAAACGCGCAAAATTATGTGCCGCTGCAGCAGAACGCACACATGCTCGAATTTCTACACCACACACTCCCACACATTCGCATTCGAGAACAACAACAAACGATTGCCGGCGAGAAGTTAGAATGAAAACGTTAAGCGAGCGCGGACCGGATTTCAATGAACCGCGCGCGGCGATGTTTCGTTGACGACTGAGCGAATTGAAACTGTGGCTGCCTTATACGCCCACTCTTATACCATAGTGCCTGAACTCGCCGCAACAGCTGATTGAGGGAGAGCGAAGTTGCCGGCTTTTTCAGAGAGAGAAAATAAAAGCATTGCTGGAAAACTGCATTTCACATTGTTTGGTAGAAGAGTGTTTTATAAGAGAGAGAAAGTATAAGTCAGAGCTTGAAAACTGAATTTTGCATTGCTTTGTAAAAAAGTGTTTTTGTAGAGAGTATAAGACGGCATCTAAAAGCAACAACATTTAAGCCAAGTTTAAAAACCCTGATTAGCAGGCTACAAATGGAGAAGAATTCCCTTTTCCCTAATCATCCTCCCTTCTTGCCCCTTTTATTATTCGTATTCCCAAAACATAATCAAATCATTTAGCCAAAAACTTATTCAAAATTCACAATTCCGACATGCTCAAATGCCCACGATTCGTGGCTAAAAAAGGGCGTTGGGTTGGGCGCAAAAAGGGGTGGTGGCTGGCGCAGGACCCTTGCATTGTTGTACACAATCCATCATTATCGCATAGACTTCCGCTCAAAAAGGAAACGCGGGGAGTGCCAACATTGCATTTACTTTTGTGGCTGACTATACACTCAAAAAAGCAAAGACTTTTATTATTTTATAACAGGTATGAGAAAGGCATTTGATTAAGAACCTAAAAAGATATATGTAAGTTTGTTTTGTAACTGCATCACCATTTTAAGCGTAAATATTATTTTTAATAAGCAAATTAGTTTAATTTTTAATAATTGGCTGGCGATCACAACAAATTTAAAGAGTCCCTAAATTTTAAAACTAACAATCGTTGACTAATTCCAAAAACTTATTGTCTTAAAGTTATTTTAATGAGTCAAATCATTCAAGACAAATAGTCAGTATATTTATTATTATTAAAATTTTGTACAATGTAGTTTTAATTGGTGAATGTAAACCTACAGACGTTATATTTTTCTCACTGGTTTTGGCTTTGCCTTCTAGTCTAGGTCTCCTTGGATCGTCCTTCTTGCAACACACTCACACACACACAGAGACACACACAGAATTAGAGTTTCGAAACACAGATACACTCGTCGCACACCCAGCCACGCAAATTGCCGGGTCGTGAGCACGTGTCTGGCAGCCTTCGCTGGGGATTACGGTTCACTGTCGAGTCGTTCAGTGAAAGTGAGCCGCCAGGATCCAGCAGGACTCAGTCAGTTGGTCGTCGTCTGGTCTGGCCAACACCGCCTCCTCCCCCTCGGGGACTCCGCCCCCCTTTCCCTTTCCCACGTCCCCACCAAACCCCTCGAAAATGTTGCATTCGCCAGCAGTTTTCTATAATTTGTGTTGCCCTTCTTGGGGGTTGGCTTGACGGCATTCGTTTTTTGTGTTTTTTGTGTTTTTTTTTTTGTTGTGGCGGCTGCGGTTTATGCAAATTAGCAAAGTTAACATTTGCCAAATTGTCGAAAATTTCATTTGGCCAGCTCATCCTACTAAAGCTATGTTTGTTTGCCTTTGCAGGGCAGACATATAAATACAGCCATATCAGTTTCATCAACATTAAAAATGTATTTCCTTTTATTATTACAATTTTATTTTATTCTTTAACTGAATATAATGGGAAGTGTTGGGTTTTTTCTTTAAAATTTACCATAATATTTCTATTTTCTGATATATTTGATAGCCTTTGGATATAATTTTCACTTTGCAGATAACGATCATTTTTGTAATCACTATAAAATAAAATTAAGTCGAAAAAGAATTTATACATAAATATGTAACCTAAAATCGAAATTTTTTAAATTATTTTAAATTCTTTAAAAAAAATTATTTAAAGATCAGAAAAAATATTTCTTTAGCAATTTTTATGTTATGTCCATTAAATTTACTAAACCAAAATCCACAAGTGGAAAGAGCCGAGCATGCGGAAACGGGAAATGCAAAAATACGAAAAGAGAGCTGTGAAATCAAAGCATTTTCGGATTCTTTTGATCAGCAATGTGTTAAGATATAGATGTACGCCCCTCGGAGTTAGTGCGTAGCCCCTCCCTAATCCCGCCCCCAAAACCGCCCTGTTTTTCCATCTTTATTAAGGCAGATCTTCGGCTGTCAGCCAGCCAAGTGACAAAATGCACCTGCACGCGAGTTTTTCCAAAAGGCAGGGAAAGGAAAAACCGACTGGCATGAGTTGGGAGCAGCTATCTATCATAATTAGATTTCGTTCTGTGCTGAAATGTCGTAACGGGAACGAAATGCGTGCACATAAATTAAGTGTGGAGTTTTTCCAGACCGCACTTTTTCCCGTTTCCCGTTGCCCATTTCCCTCCCACTGACACAGCAGCAAATAGAGCGCCTAATAGGATTTTATTTAATTTCCGTCGCCCAAGGATTTTCCTAATGAGTTTTTTAACCTGCACAGTGGAGGAATTCCCCCACGTTATTGGTTGGGGGCTCAAACTGCGCCCAAGTGAGCAGTCTAGAATATTTGAATAGAAATGAAGCCGTTGGATCAGGTGGAGCCACATCCCAACATAAACACGACTTCGGTTTGATAAACACAGTTCAAAAAGGATGCGCCGGCCAGGAATCTGTTTATCCTTTGTCTGCCTTCTAGGATATAGCTACTCTGCTCCCTTTGTTGTTGTATGGCTTGCAGATGCTGCCGTTGAGTTTAGCGAACTTGGTTGGGATTTTCTTTGTCCTCTGTCCGTCCCTCCATTTTCCCACCCCCCATTTACCCCATCCCCCTACGAAAAGAGGAGACAATGGCTTCAGCCAAGTGAATTGCCCTGGGAGCGCAATTTTTCTCTGTATTTTCGGTGTGAAATTTATGCTGCACTTGGCTAATTTAATGCTATGTTTCCACAACATAACTAGGGGAAAGGGTGCAATTAAATGCAAGAGGAATTGATATGATTTGTGTCGCGATTTGCATAAATTAGCATACAATGCGTGCCAGTTGCTACCACTTAACCATAATTAGATATATACACTTACGCTGCTACCGTTTGTTCAGGTAATTAAATGCATTCCCAGACCGGCATAACTTACATATAACTATATACTACAGTGTGTTACGAAACTATAAGAAATCTTTTCTTATAAAAAAATAAATAAATAAATCAAGAAATGCTAAAAAAAGAACTTTTTCCACAGAAAGTTGCATGCATTCTTAATTTATACCTTCAAATGACTCTGTTGTTTATCAATAACAAATTAGTTAATTATATTAATTTAATTAAAATTTCTCATAAACTGCTTTTATTTTCTAAATTCTAAATTCTTTTTTTTTTTTAAATAAAAACCTTTTTAATTAAATTTGGTTCAATATGAAGATTACTTTATGGTTGTAAATCGTTAGCTGCATTCTTTAATTTAATTACAGACATGCAGGCATTTTCCCAATCAATAAAATCATTGAACTATACAAATGTGTCTACGTGTACCTTTTCAATTTCCATTCATCAGAATTTCCTTTGATATTGGCTAAATTAAAATGGATTCAGTCATTTCAATATTAAATTATAAGTCTCTTCGAAAAAACGTTGAAATAACAGAACATTATTTAACTTGTTAAGGATTAAACCGCATAGATGGTATAAAACGAAGCTATATTCTTTGTAAGTAAAGGTTTTTTTTCCAAAACTAAATCACTTTATAACTGGCATCAAAACGGGCCAATAAATTTTGGTCATAAAAGGGAAGTAAGTTCTCATCCCCCGCGTTAAATGCGCAGTATATTCAATCAGTGCAGGCACTTCAATAAATGGCGAATCCTTTCCCTCACATTTGAATATATGACATTCTTTTTGGTGGAGGCACGGACTTGAATCCACCCCTTCACCTTGAAGAAGATTATGAATTCATTTATAATAATTTAGTTTGAGTTATGCGTAGAACACTGAAACCCACTCAACTCGGAATCCCATAATGAGCATATTCTATTAGTTGGTGGGTGGGACTGGGGGGTTTTCCACTTCCACCCTTAAGACCTTGAGGGTTGGAAATTAACAAAGCCCAAATTCTGGACACATGTTGCATTCAAATGTCGTTTTTGGCGGAGTCTGGGTAATGCCGTGTTGTGACAAACCCCAAATCGTCCAAACTGACGGGGAATCCCTTTGAAGCCCATAAACATTTGCACCCGCAACCACCAAAAAAAGCGACAACAACAACAACAACAACAACTGCTTTTTCGGAGGGCAGGAGATGAGCGACTGCATCACCATCACCATCCCACAGATAGACAGGCAGACAGACAGACAGTCGAAAGGATATGCCAGGAAGTTGTTTGGACGGGCATCAAAAAGCTTTGCCCAACTCCTCCTCATTTCCATGGCTTTCCCTTTTTTTTTTTTTTCTGTGGGCATTGATAACTGACACGCAGTAGCAACTGAAAATACGGGAGATGTATTTGTTTAGCATAATGGATTCGGTACTCGGTATTTGGTATTTGGTATAATTGAAAATCGAATCAAATCGCGTGAAATTTAATCAACTTAAGAACTTGGGGAAACTTGAGAGCCGGGGCCAACTCCCAACTCCCAACTCCAATTCGGATCGGGTTCACAACTCCCAATGGGCATGGAGGAAATGGAAAAATTAGCACAAATCCATGTGATAAACTGGCTACTATTTGCTTTGAATTGAGTTACTCCACCGCGAGTTCCGAGCCAGGAAGACCGAGGGGAGCGGCCACTAAGCGCACAGGAAGCCCATCGGAGCGGATGCCACAGCTCCGGCCGTCCAAACTCTAGACTCTAATGCACGATTAATGCCCAATCCCAGACGCACTGTCCCCGCTTCCCATGTCCCATGTGCCATGTGCATTTCCTAGTTGCTACAGGGGAGCTTTCAGAAATGGAAATTTATAAATTATACAAATTAGGCTGTATATAAAAAGAATAAATGGACACCAAAGTAGTTGAGCTCTATACCTGATATGATGATATGTATTATCATTTGCTTGAGATTTTTCCTACCTTAAAGTTTCCCAAATACGCAGCAAATGTTTGTAGCATTCAATTCCATTCAATTTAATTTCTTGAATTTTGTTATTATTGATCAGTTTAAAAAGTATTTATCTTTAAAGCTGATGACTATTTGTTTTAATATTATGTATCTTCCACAAACCTCTTGTTTGAATAATGAGAATGTAAACTGTGAAGATATAAAATCTAAAATGAAATACCAGTTATTAAACATAATTAAAATCATATTATAAAATGTGAGAGAAATTTTTCTTACCCAATAGTTAAAAATTCATATAAGTATAGTTTAGTATATATGACACAATTTGTAACCTTTTTTAAATAAAACATCTAAAAAGTGTAGGAGTTTCTGTAAGTTCAAGCAAAAGAAGTTTCACTGTAATAGGCGTATGATGGAGGCAAAGTCGTGGGCGAATGTCGATGGCATGTCCATTTCGAGAAATTAAGCCCTGTAAGCGGCTTTCATGGGACTTTGCCTCCGACTCTGCGGCATTTCCTCGCCCATCTGGCCACTTGGGCGATGTGGAGCTATGCTTTTGCCACTGGAAACGGAAGGGAGATGGAGTCACTTTCGTTGACGAGCCTTTAGCCTTTATTTGATACCATCAAAGTCATCACATCGTACATATAGTATTTAAGCAGATTTGCCACTCGTTCACTTGTTGGAGCGACGGCGGGAGTGGCCAAAGATGCGCAGGTGTTTGCTCCGGTTGAGTTCCCTGGCTTCCCGCAGACTAAGTTCGTAGAGATCCTTCTCCAGACGCTCGATGTGGGCAACCATGGCAGCCGGCGAAAGGAGACTCAGCTCTGAAAGAAGTTTCGGGATGTTTATGAACTTATCACCTCGGCAAACCACTCACCATACATCTCGCGCTGGTCCTCCTCGCTTTCCTTGTCCTGCCGACCTGCCGCCTCCTGCTCGTCCATCTCGGCGATGATGGCATCCACATTTTTTTGATCCTGCCGACCTCCATCCTCCATCTCCTCGTCGCTTTCCTCGTTGGAACTGCTGCTATGGGTCGGCCTATCCGCCTCCATGACAAACTCTTCGTCGGAGGTAATCTTCCCCTTAATGGATTTTTGGACTTTTTCCATATTTTCACAGAGTTACTAAACTTAAAATGTCCTTCTTTTCAGTTCTTGACACTTCCAGAGTTGCATTCAATGTGATTTACAGCCTTGCCAGCGTGAAATTGCCTAATTGACCTTGCCACACCACCTCGCTAATAGAATATAACAAAACAAAACAGAAGGGACCCAAAATGTAAACTTTTATAGACTTCCATTTGCCGGAATGACAGGTTTCAAATCCATATTTTAAACCACCCTCGAAGAAAGTTTCTTACCGCCTAATGAGCTGTACGAAATTAATTGTCACCACAGGAGGGTTGCCATCTTCAAAACGAATGCGTAGTATGCAAATTTCCAGCCATTGCCAGGGTTGCAGCCAAGGTCAGCGAAGGAAGCCCTGCAAAAACTGGGAACTGGCCATTAGAAAGCGTTTTCAAAGGACTCGGCTTCTTGTAAACAATCCGTCAGCAAGCGTTTCCCACCCCGTAACAGAAATCACCTCTCCCAGCAAAGCAACTTTTTTTACAGGGGCGTACGTAAACTAAGATTTAAAGAGGGTTAATTTTGAAATGTTTAGATTAAAAGGGGAAATGTAGGGAATTTTAAACTACAAACTAAAATAATCTAAGCTTTGGCTGGCAAAAAATCTTGGGGATCTTTGAGCCCCTGAAATCCCTTTGTCTTAGTCACTACTTCCATTTTTTTGGGCGCACGTGTCCGTTTGCTTTGGTGGCGGCTTAACAGCCAAAGGACATGGACATGGAATGGGAATATGTGTCGTGATGGTGACAAAGGGACGCGTGCTCATTATTACCCCCTGTCCATGTGCTCTGTCTGTTTTTGTAGCTGCTTTATGGACAAACTTTTCGGGCAAAGTATCGTTTATACTGCGGCCCGCGACTCATGCAAATTGAACAAGTTAAACTTTAGAGGGGTCGCCCTTGCCCAATCCCCTCCTCCCTTCAAGGAGTATACTCCCCAGGGTGGCTGGCGTCTGTGTAAACAGTGTTTGCACTGTACAATGGGCCCCATTACGCTGCAGTTTATTTGCAAGGATTCGGCCTCTGTGCCCGTGTTATCATCCATTCGGCACGTGGCCATCGCACGGGGGGAAATGGGAATGGAGTGGCAGTCCCACTTCTGTCTGCTGCTGACTTTGATTTGTTCAAATCGCTGCTTAATGGATGTTTACATGATGCAGACAAAATAAAATAAATTATTAAATAATGCTAATTCGTATTTATGACGCATATATAAATATACAACATTTTCTAAGATCTATATTAAATTAGGAATTAAATTTAAAGTCTATATTATAAGAAACTAACTCGTAAACCTATTCTGGTTCATATTTTAGCCATTTGCTTACCATGATTAGAAGAAATTAATTTATATTTAACCCATATATTTTCAATATTTTACCAAGAATTAGAGTTAAAGAATTTTTGGATATATAATGTTTATTTAATTTTATACCATTTTTTCTCAATACTATCTATCTAAAAGTAAGTGGACCTATAATTTCCAAAAATTATTTTTGGGAATACAAAAAGGCCTTTTAAGTATTGCTCTATATGTAGAGAAAAATTTAACTTAACTTAACTTTTTAAAATTGTAGTAGTTTTGAAGGCCTTATTATTTATGTTTTTAGTTCATTATGACAATGTTTATATAATAAACATTTTATTTTTTTATTTTTTTATCGTTCAGCTATAAAAGTATTTTGTGGTGTGGAACCATTTAAAGAACGAACTTTTGAAAACTGAAAACTATTTTCCTCTCTGCATGGAAAAAGACGCAGAAACCACTGTGCGAAGAAAACCGCCTGAGGTCAAAGCAACCCAAACAAAGGAACGGAGTGGTGGCCAAAACAAACAAGCTGGCCAGAGACAGTGACTAGACGATAAGTTGGTGGCAGGACATTGTCCCAAATCCGGAATTGACCCCCGACTCAACGAGGGTCCTGTGCCAACTGCAATTGCAACTACAACTGCAGCTGCAGAAGCCGTTTAAATGGCATTAATATTAGACGAATGGTCTATATGCCTATAGCAAGTATTGCCAATTTTAATGAACAACATTTTCGCATTTCAGCCATGCAAATGGCCCATTTAATTGGATTAACGCACATTTCCGCTGCGTCGCTGGCCAATTTATCACAGCTTTATGTGTGTTTATGTTTATTTATGTTGCATTTTAATTATGCGCCGCAGTTGGAAGTGTGCCATGCGGAGATGAGATGGCGATGGCGATGGAGATGCGGATGTTTGCCTCGATGCAATTGCTCTTTTCTTTTCCGCGCGGCCATCTCTTTCACTTCACATCCACCAGTCTCTTTCTTTTCATTCCTGATTTACTGGCTGATCCATTGTGAACGGCTGTCGATTGCAATCGATACGATCAATACCTCGTATACATATACACATATGTATATATTTTTTAGCATCGTCTTCCCCGCTTCTCCAGAAATCTGACAGCCCGGTGCGAATATGCATCGACTGTGGATTGTATCTGATTCGGCGGGATGAATGCAGGTAATTTGAAGTCTTGTTTGCGGTTCGCTAATTTCATTGCTTCAACGTCGATTGCTGCGATTGTTGTGTATCGATAACCGAAACGAGACGAGTGAAAGTAGCAGCCCATTTTCGACCAAAACATAATTTTGAGAGTAAAACATGGCCCATAGCAGTGCTCTGGAATTACTGAGCTGTGAGGTAGGTACACATTATTGTCCAATCATTGTGGGTCCATTGGTCATACAAAAAGCAAGAAGGAAAACAGCTATAGCAAAATTTAAATATTCTTGAAAACACTTAAATTTTGATTTATATGCGAAAATGTTTAAAAACATTGAAGCTATGGTGACTTTCATTTAAATTATTCTGCCGTTCAAAGGCAGCTATATGATATCGTTTGACAATTTTAATTATATTAATATCGTAAATCTCAACTATCAAATTATTACAACATTTTTGAAAAAAAATATCAAAAATAGAAAAGTTTAACAATTTTTTTTTAATTTTAAAGTTTTTGAATTTGGCTACAAAAAGCTTTGTTGGATCAAAATTAATTAAACCTTTTTTAGCCTCAAATTGGATTTTACTTAACATTAAAAATTTAATTGTGTTACTATCGTGCTTTCTTAACCAAATTTTTTATTCTATCCAAGCCAAATTAAAGATATAAGTTTGTTGTTTCTTTAAAGACCCAACAGAAAGGTTTAATAATGTGGCTGTTGATTTTAAACCGTAATAATGAGAATTTTTACAAAAAATGTTCCTTAATGGAAAGTCAGGATATCAAAGTTTAGCAATCTGATTAATATTTTTTAGAGCCTCAGGAATTGGGTGGCCTGACTGACGGGCAAATGAAAGACCCCTTTTTTGCTGTCAAGTTTGATATAGACGAAGAATAGCAAAGGTCCATGAATGGAACAGTGCCCCGGGAGCCGACGACATGGAAAGTGGAAGCGGTTGAAAGGCTGCGTCTCCTTCAATGAAACAGCCGCAGACATTCAATTTCTGATGCGGAATGTGGAGTGTGGAATGGGCTCGTCGGACTTGTCGGACACGCTTTAATGTCGTCTGTGCTGGCCGCCGACATAGTATATAGAATGCATATTTATAATAGATACTTATCTTGCACCCTTTCGCAGGACAGCGCGTCGGACTCCCAAGCTGGCTTGAATTACGGTCGCATTTCGGGCTTATTAATTGCCCGCATACACGAAAGCCAGTTCTGAACAGAGTCCTTAGTCCTGAGTCCTGAGTCCTGAGTCCTGGGTTCTGGGACCTGGGTAGCCTGTCACTCGCGTCCTTGGCGACCTGTCGCCACCAAATGCAAAACATTAAAAGCATAAATATTAAAAGCCTAATTAATTTTAGGTCGCTGGGTTGGGACTGATATTTTATTACAAAACTGAATGTCAATAATTGCACGTAGGCCGGCTGCAGGTGTGAATTATTTCAGTTCACCTGCCTTTGTCGTTGAGCAAAGGCAGGTTTGTCACTCGAATATGCTGCAAAACTGTTTAAATAATTAAAGCAATTTACAAGGATTTCAGAGGAAACAGCTGCTGCACGAAAAAATATAATAATGAACGCTACAATTTCGTATCAAAATTCCCAAGTTGATGTTTTGTGGTATTTCTAAAGTATTCGTTTACATTTTTGTGGCTTGAAATTCGTTTTGGAAACACATAAAACACTTTAAGCGACTTATTTTATAACTTAAGTTTTTTCTCATTAATTAAATTCGAATCATTCTCAACAGCATTTCATTTTATTCTTGCTGAAAACGATATATATTTGTTCCGATATGATAACTGTTTTTAATACAAATTTTTTTAAACTTTAAAACACATAAAAAATATTTAAAATACAATATGAACAGTTGATATTTGTATCATTTTATTTGTCAACTAATTTTAAAATATCCTAATTTGTATGCTTCTCCAAAAACACATTTTTAAAAACATTTATTTTTGTTTACCACATTTCTTGATAAAAGTATATATTTTATTGACTTTAAAAGATTTATTACAGTGCAGCTATGCACAAGTTTTTGGCGACAATTGGCCAGGAGCTGCAATTAGGCATTCCAGCAGCTCAACTTGCCCTCTCGATTGCCCTTGATTGATGAGTGATGCAGTGATGCAGCTCCTTCCGAAAGAGTTGCCTGATGAAATCGAGAGTGGGGACCTTTGCCAAAGCCCAAACAGGTGGGTCTGTGGGGCAGTAAAAGTGGACCCACTTGCCTCACATCCCCAATCATTTTATACACACACCGAAATGGCCAGTGCCGCAGGCACTTGTCTCTCAGCGATGCAGGTGCACTGGTGTAGAGTCTTTCTTGGCTTGGTTTCTGTCTTAGCCGTTCACCGTTTGTGGCCATCAGCGATATTGATGGATAACGAGTTTGCGGTGCCGGGAAAGTGGGTGAGTGCCAAGTAGCTGGCATCGTAATTCGCTTTTCCCATTAATTGATATGCGACCGTCCCGTTCCGTGCCGTCCAGTTGCATTATTCATACAGAGAAAACTCAGCCACGCCGAGTCCAATCTAATTTCGATTTTCCAGCAATTTCCCTTTGATCTGCTGGCCGGGTGATCCAGACTGTCAGAAACGCACAGAGCAGATCCTTTCAGGCGGCATCCGCTTGACAAAATACAGCCTTTGAAGTGCTGAAGTTTCGCAGGCAGCTAATTATAGCCGTTAATGGTGACTTTTTAGTGGAAAAATGCACAGGATGCGGACAAAACATGTCCCCCCCAAAACAAAAAGAACACATTCTTTCGCAAAGTTGTTAAAATTGATGAGACAAACTGGCGCGCCATGACTTTTGACCCACATCGCTGACTTCTCGCCTTACCTCGTGGCAAAAATTCGGCGGAGATGCCTCACTGAATCCACAATGGAATGGGTGATGCCTTACTGAATCCACATTGGAATGGGTGAGCTCGACGAGGATGGAGGATGGAGGATGAGGATTGGCGACCACCAAGACGCTGTCTGCGGCAATCTTTCGGCGGCGCCGCCACTTCGTCTGACCCAGTTTTATATTTCATGGCAGACAAATTGTCTGCGCGATATGTGCGCTCCATAAGATTGTTTATGATGCTTTTGAACTTTCCTTTAAGCAAGTCGCAAAAAACACATCGAAACGACGCAAAAACTTCGTAGGTCAGAATGGAATGCCAAAACTTCGAATTCAATTATGGCCAATTTGATGGGGTGAGCAGGCCAACTAATGTAATGGAGATAACCACAGGATCGCAACACCTTGGCCAATGCCAATTAGTCGGACTGCACTGAACTCCACTGGATTGGACTGGCCTGGCCAAATTTCAATTAACGTCAAGAGCAATAAACGAAACTTTTTACCCAACTTGTCTCTGGTCGGCTGGTGAAAAGTTTGAACCCTGAACTTTGCTGCATTCTGGGCTTTTCAACTATTTATAAAACTAAAAAACCAACTGCCTGTTTGTTGCACAAGTTAGAGTTTGCTTTTCAAAGTCACTGAGAGAGTGTAGTGACATTTTTTCGAACATAAGCTGAGGAATTTTTCTAAAAAATTATAACATTTTATTTAAATTATAGAAAATGTATTTTAAGTATGAGCGTTTCAGGTTTTATTTGACGTTTAAAAGGGTTGATCTATAAATTTAAAGAGGTCATGTGAGTTACAAATAAAAAGTAAACGTTTAGTAAAATCGGTTTAACAGCAAGATTTTTGTTTTAATTTTATAATCAAAGATAAACGATCATAATTTAAACATTTTTTGTGAATTCCACTTATATTAAATAAATTATTTAATGATTTTTCACCGTGTGCCATGCCGAGTTTGGATTGCACAAACTTGTTAGCTGCATCGCAATTATGACAGAATTAAGTTATATGCTGTGCCACCGAGGTGACCAACTGTCAGACCCGGCTAATCCCCGATCCCGATCCCAACTCCCGATCCCCGCCAGACAACCGCAAGGCGGCAAAAAAAGCAAAAAAGCAAAATAGCGACACAGCGACACAGACCGCACATAAAACTGTCAGGGAGTGTGTGGTGTGTCAATGGCCAGTGAGATGTGGTGTGGATGCCAAGCCATGCCAGTTCCACCCACATGTTACACAAATCACCTCGGTGGGTGGATGTGGATGAATATGGATGGGTGCATATATTGGATGCATATTCCGATTTTCGTCCATGTTTGTGCCATTGACTTTGCAACTTCGTCGCTCTGTCTGTTTGTCAATAAAACAAACAAAGAAGTTTGTCCCCAAACCGACAGTGTGCAAAAGATACAAGCTGAGTATCCGTATCTGTGTAGCTGCATTGCCACCGGAAGTGCAACTCAAACAACGAGACACGAGACAACTTTTTTTTGCAGATCCTTTCCATCATCGTTTCCATATTTTCCCTTTGTCTAGAAAGTTTTTCCACTACGCTTTTCCACTTTTGTTTTATCAGTGACAAGTGTCAGAGGCAAGAGCGCTGTGGAAATTAAAGTTCTATTGCCGGAGCCCATTAACCCACGTTCAAGTATCGATGACGACTGTCATTGGAATACGAAGAGAAAAAAGATAGAAGACAAAAGAAGATTTAATTCAGGTATCAGATTATAAAAGGCAGTCATAACCCAACTTGTTATAAATGAAGTTATGACTCAAACATAACAGAAGGAGTATAAATATGCATAGTACAATAAAAAAAAATTTTAAAAAGTAAGTCTACTGTTTTTAATTAACAAATAAATATCCTTTAAAAACTAACATTAAAACGAAATAGAAAACTAGTTTAAATGCACAGATAGTAATATGAACCCAATATTCTGTTTTTGCCCCCTAAAACTATATGCACGCTTGTTGGCCGTAATTCAGCCGGCTTGTACGTGATTACTGCCTGATTGCAGGACTAGATAAAAGCGCCAGACCCCGTAATTATGGCCCCAGATCCTTTTTATTACGCCATCACTACGCCTTTCTCACTCAATGAAGCGCAATAATTGCAGCGCTTAATGCAAATTCTTTGCCCAAAAAGGCAGCCACACCCCCACTTTGAGTAAGTGGGGGCGGAAGCGGAGAAAGTCGGGTTGGTTAATGCCTTCACTGTGTATGCAAATGAGTTTCCAATGACTTGCCACGAAAACAAAACAACACGCAGCCAAGCGAAGGATATGACGTTATGTCGTCTGCTGCACTTGAACTTGGCTCCGTCGTCCGCCATTAACTTGGCCACATGCGTCTGCCCGATGTCTGTCCATATATACGATATATACCAATATATGTTCGGGCATGTGGAGTGAAAGCGTCATAGCCACTTGTATTATAGTTGGCTGCAGGCGTTTTATGCGAAATTTGCACTTTTATTGGGGATCGCGGGGTCTGCTCCTTTTAACGCTCAACTTAAAGCGATAAGCGCCTTTGCAATTTAAGTTTATTGTCTGCCCTTTATTCCGCTTATCGGTGCACTTTAAATGCTGTGCGGGAGTGACACTAAAAGCCTCTGCGGACGACGTCCCAAAAAGTCATTGAACATTGGCGATATGAAACTCTCTTAGGTCAGTTTTTGATCAACTTTAATGGCTGACTTTAAAAGAATATCTAGGTGTTAATTTTATATGAAAATTAAATATATAAATTTTACGTACTGAAAATTGATTTGATTGTAGAGCTGTGTTACTCCTTATGAAAATATTATATTTATAATATTACGATTGAGATAGGTAAACATTTGTTTCATTAAAGATATACGTGACTACAAATTAATTCTTTTTAATGTATAACTATTTTTAAAAAGGTTGCTGCTCTTGAAACATTTTAGTATTTTTTCCACAACTTTCTCATTTTTGGCGGCATTAATTTCAAAGTTTTTAAAGAGTGGCAGCACGAGTATGCCATTCAAATACATTAGTCTGGCAGCTGCGTGCCAAATCAGCTGTTTATTGATTACATTACGTTTTGCAAAGTGTCGTAATTGGCAAAAACCATCCAAGATCTTGAGATTCGGCTAAAAATGTCGAGGCACGCGCTGATAGGTAGGTCCAAAGATGGAAACCAAGGCCTCTGGCCAGGCGAACTAACCCGGACTCTCGCTCAGGTGGCGGCACCGGCTTTATTGGCCGCAATCTCGAGAAGCACCTGACCCAAAAGGGCTACGATGTGACGGTGATCTCCCGGATGCCAGGTCCCAAGCGCATCACCTGGCACGAGCTGGAGAAGAACGGGATACCGAGCTCCGTGAACGCTGTGGTAAATGCCACCGGTCAGAACACCCTGGATCCGACGAGGCGCTGGACCCCAGGATTCCAGCAGAACGTGTGGAACTCGCGCATCAACTCGTCCAAAACACTGGCTCAGGCCATCAGGGCGGCTCCCCAGGTCAGCTCGTTTGTGAATTTCTGCGGCGTTAGCCACTATCCACCGTCGGAGTCCAAGGTTTACACCGAGGATGACCAGGTGCAGGGATTCGACTACATGTCCCGGTTGTGCCTGGCCTGGGAGGAGGCTGCCCACACCGGCGACGAGCAGGATTGCAAATGCGTGAGTTGCCCTTAGAGAAGCTTAGGAATTCGCAGTAATACAACTCAAATACAATCCCTTCCAGACCATCCTAAGATGCGGTGCTGTGGTGGGTCACGGCGGTGGCATGGTTCAGTCCATGTGGCTGCCCTTCAAGCTGGGAGTCGGCGGCCCTTTGGGCAGTGGCAAGCAAATCATGCCCTGGATACACATGCAGGACCTGTGCAGCCTGATACAGCACATCGTGGAGAAGCCAGTCCCCGGAGTGGTCAATGCCGTGGCTCCCGAAATAGTCAGCAATTTGGAGTTTAGCAAAGTAGGAGCTTCTAACTTCTTAAGAGAAGACCTGATTTAAATAACTCCTTCTCTTGCCAGGCCTTTGCCAAAGCCCTCCATCGTCCCTGCCTCTTCAGTGTCCCGGAGTTTGTGGTCCATGCCGTGTTTGGCAAAGAGCGGGCAGCCCTCGTCCTGAGCGGAGCCAAAGTGAAGCCCCAGAAAGCCATCTCGTCGGGCTTCAAGTTTCAGTACCCCACCGTCAAAGAGGCTGTGACGCAACTGACCCTCAAGGGATGAACTGAATCGACATTGGCTGCGCGTTGAACCAGCGCCTCAGTTCAAAGTTACCTGTACATTAAATGAATGGCAGTAGCAAGCACAAATTAAAACGAATTTCTGCGAAATGGGACTCATGTATCTCATCCCCCGAAAGTACACCCATTTAATTTGTTTACTCATCAGTCATGCCCACAAGTATTTCACAATTTTTTTTTAGTGTCACATTAAATGTAATTATTGGCTTAATTCGCTCTATTAAAACATGTTCCAATTATTTCAATTAATGTGTCTGAATGAAACCTTTGTGTTTGTAACCGAGCTGCAATTGTGAATTGTAAGTTTAATAACACCGTGTAGATTTTAGGTAACTCCCAAAGAATTGCCATTGAGTGTGAAAGTGAGATTAGTGATAAATCTGATATATATATGGAGCCCTTTGCATGGTTTCTGGCCAATTGAAATAATTGCAACCGAACTGAAATGAAAAGGCAAAAAAAATGTAATTGACGTGCACACACAATCAAAACTATAGTAATCATATACATATATCAATGACTGTCTTTTTTTCGTTCGTTCGGTGGGCTCTATAAATTGAGGGCCCATGTCAACTAGAGAATCAGTTTAATTTTGAGCCGCCAAACCGAAAATGCTTTCGAAATCGCAACTATTACTGCTCGTCGTCGGGTTCTGCTTGGTATGATGAATTGGGATCACGCGATTTTAGCCCGGTTGTAACTAATCCATTGACAGAATGCAGCCACCTTGGCCGACGTTGACTGCAGCAGGCGACCAGCGTTTGTGAATCCCAAAACCTGCTGTCCCATGCCGGATTTCGTGACCGACGAGTTGAAGGAGAAGTGTTCGAGGTTTGAGGTGACCCCACCGCCACCAACAACTGGCGAGGCCAGTGGATCCTTTGAGAGCAGGCGCCGTCATCACCATCCCCATCCACCATCGGTGAGTATCTCGGGAACAGGACATGGGATCGTTGTGACGCGGATTATCCCCCTTTCAGTGCTTCTTCTCTTGCATCTTCAACGAAACGGGCATCTATCAGAACCGGAATCTGGATCAGGACAAGCTGCAGAGCCATCTGCAGGTGGTGTTCAAGGACAGTGCCGAGCTGCAGACTGCGGCCACCCAGGCCTTCACCACATGTGTCGCCAAGATTGTGGAGTTCGAGGAAAACTTACCAGCACGCCCTTCGCCGCCACCTGGATTGCCCATCTGTCCCCATGACGCCGGTCACTTGATGGGCTGTCTGTACCGCAATCTGATGAAGAATTGCCCGGACTCGATTAGAAATGACTCCCAGGAGTGCACCGACATGAAGGAGTACTTCAACAAGTGCAAGCCCCCACGTGGTGCTCCTCCTTCCGCTGAAGTTATGTGAGGCGTCCGAAAAGCCCTTAAAATCTAAAAAACCCGCAATAAATATACCTCCTCCCAGCAGAACATTCAATATTTTAGTGAGTTTAAACCAATAAATACTTAAAGCTCAATATGTTTTCACTTTTTTTGCACTGATGGAAGCATCCTTTGTGCCACTTATCGCCAAGATGCACATCTGGGCGCGCAATGAGTTAGAAAATTAGGTTTTCCTCGGAGGAAATTGCTTATCGCGCGCATGTGCGTGGAACCAGAAAACCTTTGAGTTTCCCAGCTGAAGAAGGATTCATTTAAGTTCTGCCTGGGAAAGCGTACAGAACATGGAGGAGGAGCTGAGAGCATTCTTCGAGGATTGTCGAAGGCAGGAATTTACCGGAAAGGAAATGCTGGCCATTTGTCAACCTTTGATTTGGCGCATACGCCTGGCTAGAGTCAAGAAATGGTGTCTCATCCTGCTGCCCCTGGTGGTGATTTACTTGCTGTGGTTGTGTAGCGACACCTTTGCTTGGTGGTCGAGTGCCGTGGGCCGTTTGCTGCTCATCCAGATCCTTCCGCTCTGGGATTGGACACACTACTACAATGCCAAGTGCTTGATTCCACGTGGTCAGAGTGTCCAGGAGCAGCCAACTCCACTGGGAAGGTACGAGACCCTGTGGCAAAACTGTGCTCTTTGTGAAACACTGGGTGAGTATGGTCTGGAGAAGACTACCCCTTTACCATTTAACTTATTTCCAAACAGAGGGCATAGCCACTGCATCGAATGTGAGCTACTCCACGTTGGAATCTGAGTACCTGGAACGTGGACTACCTGTTATTGTAACCGATGCTGGCTTGGAAATGGATATCGTTAATCTTCTGGAGCTTATAGAGAAGAAGTCGCCGCAGTGGTTGTCCAGTGAACCCTGTGATGTGTCCAGCAATCTCCTGCTGAGGCAACTGTTCAACCTAGAGGCTGCTCTGGACAAGATCCACTCCTGGCAGGGACAGTCATCAAATAGTTGGCACCTTCAGCTAAGAAACTGCCAGAAGAAGGCGGTAAAGGCCTCTCGATTGTTCCTGGAACGTCCCTACTACTATCCTCTCCACCTGGCGCCGTATTATTCCAGCTGGTTACTGGCAGTCCATCAGCAGAAGCGAGAGCAGACGGAGATCTATGTGCGTGGTTTGGTTCTTGTCCAGCAGCTTAGTGGACACTTCGAAGTGATTCTTCATCCCAAGAATCCCTGCGACAAGGGATTGTGTCCCAGCTTGAGAATGCGCCTGAATGCTGGAGAGGCTCTGGTCTTCTCCACGGATATCTGGAGCCTCAGCTATGGCCTGGAGAAGCCACACTCGAAGCAGAGCTCCCTGGCCAGCATTTTCGAGATTGACTGGCAGACGTAAACCATCCACTCTTAGTTGGCCGAAATTGTATTTACACACACAACTAGATACACATAAATAGAAGCCTAAAGTTATCGAGTGTTTCTGGAAGGGATTGGCGACAAGGAACAGATTTTATATCTTAGGCCCTGCGGCACTTGGCCTCCACCAGTTTCTGCAGCGTGGCCGTCAGGCTGTTGATGGCATCGATCTTCATCCGCTCGATCCGTTCCTGCTGCACGAGGGACATCTTCTGGATCTGCACCTGTTCGCGCTGCAAACTCCGCTGCAGTTCCATCTTCTCCCGCTCCACCTCCAGTTTGCGCTCGAAGTAGTCCTTCCACCAGATGTCATCGGGGATACCGGGAGCCGAGCCCATGGGTCGTGCCAGATCGTAGAGCTTGCCATTGGCCTCCAGATGCTGGCTACTATCGCTGGTGCGTTCCGCCTCCGCCACTTGATCGCCATCGTACTCCATCTTGGGTTGGCGCACCTCCGACATGCTGTTGCTATCCTCGTCGAACTCGTCGTTGGACTTGCTGTCCAGATTCATCTGAGCCTGCAGCAGGACCTGATCCACGGGCGTGATATACGGTTGACCCTCCTTAGCCGCATTACTCTGGGATGGAATTTGCTGCTGCATTTGCGGTGTTCCCGGTTTTATGGTAACCGGAGTGGGTTGCAGTTGTATGGGTGGCTGGGAAAGTCCCTGTGCCTGGATTTGACCATTAGTAGGAGTGGGGGCTTGTGCCACTGTTGTGGTTTGCTGTGGCAGCTGCATATCAAAATCGGCCTTCTTTCCCTGCAAATACTTGAACATCTCCTCGAAGAACTCCCAGTGGACATAGCCGGATACGTATTTCTTGTTCAGATTCTTGTTGTAGGTGATCAGGATGTTGTGCCACTTCTTTTGGACCTTGGCGGCGGAGTAGCGAAAGCCCAAACGTTGTAATTGCCGAGTGCAGTGCAGCCAGAGAGCGGTGCGTTTTTGCCTAAAATGGGAAATGTTGGTTTTAATCATTTGCAATACTTTTGGGCCTGTTCACCCACGAACCTGCCCTCGGTGAAGCTTCCCTCCATGGGACCACGAATGTGGATCAATGCTCTGGTGGCCTCCGTGGTCCAAGCCCGCTCGTAGGGACCACGCCCCAGGCTATTGGCGCCCCCCGAGGTCTCTGCCTCCTCCAGCAAGCAATCATCATCCAGGTCATCCAAGTCATCGTCACTTATTTGATAGGCTAAAGTTATGATAAATAAGTAGATCGTTCTTTTAACTGGTTTGATTGGGATTTGTTTTCTTAAAAACAAAATTTTACAATTAGATTTAAAACATTTTAAATGTCTTTTGAATTTGTTATAAGTAACTTCTTCATATCAGTGGCTACATTCTTTTTAACCTTTAATTTATAAAATGAATACACATTTGTCCACTATATTTTTTGGTTCTAAGTTCTAGTCCTTAGAAATAGCAATTAAATTCAAAAACTTGTTGCTTTTGCGCTTCGGTGGCAACCCTGTCGTTCTCGCAGCATCTCGTGTCCTCTCCCAGCTCTCTCGCTTATCCTGCTGTCTCTCTTGCAAGTTACCACCCAACGCCAGGCCAAAAAGCATCCTAGCTATGTGGAAGATGCTAGCTGCCGCTGACATACATCACTTATGATACATACATACAAACTTACATCCTGACACACGGACACACACTATATCCCTCGTCTAAGTCTGTGCAGACACCACTACTAATGTGTGCACCTTTCTGACAAACGCTCAATTTCCGATTTTAATTCTAAATATACCGAGTGGCAAACTTACGTTCATTATCCTCGACATTATTTCCGTTGCTCTGGGCAGCATTGCCTCCATTCAGTTGAACTTGAGCCATTCGGGCCGTCAGATTTCAGCTATTAATCTGCTTTTTCTGCCAGCCTATGTGTGAACTTTAGACCTTTCGCCTGTCAATAGTTTTCCCGTACTAACAGGACAATTTTCGGGCTGCAGCTTCCAGGCGTCGAGAACTTCCTTCGTGTGCGCCTACTCTCTACGCGCTCTCTCCGCTCCGCTCCTCTCGCTCTCTCTCGCTCGCTCTTAGATCTGGAAAGGGAAGCTGTGGCTAGCCAAGCAGTAGTGGTATTAGTGCCAGTGGAATGGGGGCTCTAGAAAGGGGGGAAGTGGGTGGTTCGGGGAATGCAGTGGTTGGGGGAGTGCAGCATCTGCGCACTTTGCACTCTGACTTCGCAGGTCTGTTAGCCGCAGCCACAGCCACAGCCTCACTGGAATGGCTGGTCGCTTGGAAGGGCTAACCTAAATAGTTCTAGTCCGGCTACACTGGAAGGCTCACTACTGTTAGGGTCCCACTACAAATCACACATGTCAGGTAATACTAATACTAACGATGAAATGACATAATGAAATGACACTGACGAACGTCTTTAAATCCCAAGGCCTTAATGCCTGGGTTAAATTTAAATCTTTAAATTATTTATTCACATTTCCTAAATTCAAATTAATTTGACTTATTTAAAATTGAAATATTATAAGGGTTAACTCTATTTATTTGCTCACCTAATAATGATGATTTAAAACTACCAAGTTTTTGAATTTTTCCTTGCTTTACAATAAATCAATTTGTTGTAAAAGTCATTTTTTGTATAACAAGTCCACAGCCTTTGAAATTCCGCTACTTACTAATAACTTTTTAAAAAGCTCTAACATATAATTTAATACGAGGCCTACTATCGAACCAGTTGCATAAATATATAAATGTATATATGTATGAACTTAATAATATACTTATTATTAAAATATCTTTATTTTGGGTTCGAACTCTATTAATTATATCACGATTCCCAAAACCATTATTGAAATCTTTTGCTTTAATGTTTCTTTTGTTTTTATGTAAGGGCTATTTCATATTATTTGAACTTATTTGATTGTTATATTGATACACTTTCTAGCATTTCATTTGTAAAAGAAAAAAAAATTTTTAAACGTACCAGAAACTTAAAATTCTAACGGACATTTTAAAAATTAAACTATCGTTTAATCGATATATAGCCAGGGCTGCCAGCTCGTTGTCCCGGCATTTCTTGCACCAGGTGGCAGCTCAGGCGGCGCAAATTTGCGCGTGGAACAAGATTGTATTTGTTATTAAATAATTGTAAATTGTAGCTGCTAAGAGAAAGCCAAGACAATGCCCGCGGTGGAGAAATGCGTGATGTAAGTATCTGGAGTCCAAAATTAATGGAGGACAGCATGTAATCCCCCTCAATTGCTCCCTACAGCACCGACTGGAAGCGCCTCTGGCAGATGGTCTCCGGAATCCACTATGAGACGCCCCAGGAAACGGTGCGCGAGGAGCTGATGAACGTGGCCACCGAACTGCAGGCCGGCGTGCTCCAGTTTAAGCCCAAGAGCGCCTCCAACGTCCAGCTGGGCACGCTGCTCAAGGAGAAGAAACAGGAGAAGCTGCTGCCCTTCACCGAGCGACTGCAGGATCTGCTGGATCTGGAATCCGCCCAGTGCTGGGAGATCTTGTGCTACTACCTCACACAGGAGTACCGCGGCTCGGCCAGCCTCCTGACCCAACTGATCTCCACCGAAACGAACATGGCCAAGCTGCACGAAGACATCCGGCACTACTACTCCCTGGAGCGCATGATTGTGCTGAAGATCGTCAAGAACCTGATTGTGTTCCACCGGGTGCCGAATCATCCCTACCACCAGGAGTATCGCGCCGTGGTGGAGAAGATAACCCTAACCCGCCTGAGGGATTCATACCTGCAGCAGTTGGAGAACCTGATCAGCGAACTGCCACCTAGGAAGCTGATGGCGGGCGAGTGCTTCCACTCCACGGAGCGATTGATTGCCTGGTCGGAGAGGAACGCCCGCGAGACCAACGAGGTGCTGCAAATCCTTCTCCTGCTCGCGGAGCACCTGCCCATGGGTTTGGAGCAAATAAAGAGGATATTCGCCGCCTGTAAACAGCACTCGTTCGGAAAGATACAGAATTACCTGGACGACAGCCAAGCCTACCACCAGGAGCTGATCCGCAGCCTCACCTACTCGGAGCTGGTGCTCATTCTGAAGTGCCTGGACTTTGAGAAGCCGCAGGAAAACTCCAATTTGATTGAAAAACTGATTGAGGACCTGCAAGTAGACATTGCCAGCATGTACCATCGGCCGGAGCACGGGCCGCTTCTGCTGGTGTGGATGCTTCTTCGCCTGCGAGGCACCAACGATGCCGACGACGCCTCTAGTTTGCTCCGGTGCCGGCAGCTGGGCAAGCGGGCCGTGGATCTGAAGTGCTTTGTCCAACTGCACCTAGTGGCCAGGCATGCCATGTACGCCGATGACTCGATGCTCTCGCGGATTGTGCGCAAGACCATATACAACCAGTTGGCATACATGTGCAACCTGTTTGATGGCGATGGCAGTTGTGCCCGTTATGAGGGTATTTACGAGCTGCTCTGCGAACTGGTATCCTGGCCTCACTTAGCCAAAGATTTCTGCAGTCGGGAAGGTTAGTCTGGCATTATATTCATAAGTATGTACATTGTATTAAACAAAACGATTCTCTATCTACTCAGATGATGGTCCGCGCTCCCTTTATAAAACACTGCTGGAGAACTTTCCTCTGGAATTCACTCATCTGTCCAAGCTGGCAAAATCACTGACTAAAGGTGGACAAGGAAACTATGTAAGCCAAAAATATATTTCCATTGTTTAATTAACCAGCTTAAATTTCTTAAACCATCTAGATCAAAAGTCAGCTGGAAGCATTGCCCATACTGGCCCTCCTATACGATGAGAGTCAGCACAAACTCAAAGAGGTGGACACGGATGAATTCGAGCTTTTGGCCAGTGTGCGTCCCTTTCCGCGGATTGACTATACCATACCCGCAGGCACCAGTTGCACAGCAATTCAACATCCCTCTGGGTGCTACATGCATTTTCGCACCCAGGTGAACTTCTTCGACGCACTGCATCACGAGATTAACTGTCTCATACGAGAAACGGGCCACTTGCATGGTGACTTTGAGTCCAGCGAACGCATCCGTCACGTAGAAGCTGGCTTGAGATTCCTGGAGAGCGCCATCCAACTCAG